TAGATGTTGGTTTGATGGTGATATCAAAGAGATCTTGTGTGATGCAGATGATATCTTATGAGTAGTTATGGAGCCTATTTATTAGGATTCAGAGAACAGGCCAAAATAAGGCTCCGCATTCTACCCAGGACCCATATGAATAACAGTAATTCCTATTTAATGAGATTTTGTGCACGTGAGGGATCCATGGATTGGATGCTCGCCGATGATCCATGTGATTCGGGTTCAATTCCAGGTCATTGAGGGCCTATACATTTGCTAGTTCGCTAGTTGAGAGTTAACCCAAAAAGGGGGAATATTTGGCGTGAAACTAGCGACCTCACTCCTTATTAAAAAAACCTACGCTACTGTAACTTCAAGGCTGCGTTCTACTCAGAATTAAAAGGAGTGAAATAAAAAGCCTTAAATACTGAAATTCAAGTAGGGACGAATTATTTTACTCGACACAAGTAGGGGATTTAAATGCATCACATCATGACACCGTATACTGCTGGTTGATATGAGAATTCAGGAACCATTTATACCAACCAGGAATGTCTGTCAGACAGATTGAGATAATCAGAGCGCCAGATATCCGTATTTCCTGTTTGGGGTTTAGGTCATCAGCGGTGTACCTAGAGCAGCTTATCCCAAAGATCCTACCTTCTTGCCACGCACCTGAACTAGGACTAAGTGGCTTCCAGGTACTCAAATATGCGTCAGTAGTACTTAACATTGTGCAATTTTATTACCTCTTCAGATTATTATTTATGGCACAATGGAAACCAACACCTCAGTATATTAAAGCTGGTGTATTTTTGTCCCTTTTAATCATGAGAAGAAATAATAGTTCTTTGAATTCACGTTTACAACAGCTAAGTGGTTTCATGATAACAGCTGCATTCACCTCAACATGTAGGCACCAGTCAGCTGGTGAATGGTGACTATCAGTGGAGTCAAGAATGTGAATTTCGTCCTATTTGGGACTCCTCACTGGATTTACCTACATTACTCAGTGAGTGCCTTATCAACCTGGACCCAGCTCTTCCGACCGATCAATCGACAGAAAATTTAAGTTGAATAAAATGAAAAATAACACCCATTGCACAAGAGGTGGCTCTTGTAGCCCAAGTGGTCTAGTGAATAACTCTGTGGCGTTTGAAACTACGGGCACTGGGTTATAGCCTTGGTGGGAACACCAACACTCACTGGGGAATGCAGGTACATCCAGCCAGTTGACGAGTCCCAAATAGGACTAAGTGCGCATCCTGGTGAATTCCACTGCTAGTCACCACCCACCAACTGACTTCAACTTACATGATCAGACATTGTTGAAGCATCTGCACAAAAAGCCAACATGTCAACCTGAGACCCAGCACTACGGTTCAGTCAGTCGACGGGAAAATGTAAAACTGAATTAAATATAGGCACCAAGTTTGTGGAAAACACGTTGCTTTGCTTAAATGTTTCAGGTAAGAAAAAGTATGGCGCTGAACTTAATAGATAGTTATCGACTCACATAAATTAGTAGTTGCAGTAGGTCATTTCAAGATTCTCCAGTACTGAGTAATAAGACTACACGACGAAGATTCGTTTCATGTGATGTACTTACTTTTTTTCAAGAGTTACACATTCTTCGAGGTTTACTAATTTGATTGTTGCTGTTAAATGCGTGAAAGTTTACTAAAAGTTTAACCGTTTGTATAACAATGTTGCTGGTGTGTGTGCATAAATGGAAGTTCTTGTTCCTTTCAGGTCTTCTAGAAACAAATATTTCATAAGCTTCATTATAGTAACTGCTCAAAGTGTATTGATCTACTGGTTGGAAATTCTGTATGCCGCGACTGGTAGTTCTTACCCTGATGGTACGGTTGGTCTTTCATATCATAGTGACCCAACCTATCACAGTGGCTGGAAACAATGTTCTTTAAAGTCTTGTGAAGCCAAAAATGTTGTTCCGGTAGTGTTTAGGGGAAAGCAGTTAACACCATAGTATTAGTCGTTTACACTATGTCGGGAACTTGATGGTGAACTCCTCATTCAGGAGAATAAGGATGTAACGGAAGTAAAACATTTCCTTGGATGACTAGCAAGTCAGCTATTTTGTCTCTCCTCTACAGCGAGTGCGGTTAGCGAATGTTGGCTCTGAAAATTGTACATCCCAATTTATTGTGCATCGATAAGACCTAATATATGGATACAACTCAAACAGTTTGAGTGTGACTAGCCTTACGCAGTTGACTCATAGAAATTGCAATCACATATATCTAGTGCTTCTACTATTTCAGGTATCTTAAGGAAAAAACAAATTTCACTGTATGATCAGACAGAGAGCATTAACCGCCAATGCACTTCCATAAGAACACAAGATTCTTGAATTCAATGCGCTGGTGCTTACTGATATACTTTGTAATATTTTTTTGACTATAGCTCTGTTCTACACCATATTTTTGGTACAAGTATGGAATTTTCAGCATATGATATCGGTAACTTAAAATTTTGTAGGTGGACCATTGATATCAGATGTGCGTCATTACGGGATCAAACCCCAGACCACGTGCATGGTTGGCGAGAGTCCTAACTGCTGTGCCACCGACACACAAAATCGTGCCTCACGAACTCACGACCTTCAGATCATGAGACTGACGTGCTAACCGACTGAGCTACTAGGCCGCCATGTTGGGAAATTTGTAACCTGAAAACAATCGTGAATAGATTACTTTCCACAGAGTAAAAAATCTACCTCTCACTGTGAGACAGACGTCTGATCTACGCAAAGTCTTAGTATAGTGGTATCTTAAGTTTGGTAGTAAAGTCAGCTTTATAAACTACATCAGCTTACTTCTAATAACATCAAGCTCTACTCACAAAACAGATATTTATCGACTTAAAGTTCAAACAGTGGAAGTAGTTAGATTTTGAAACGAAGTTGCAGTGAAATCGAGGATTCTAATTTCGTCCTATTTGGAACTCATAGTTTAGATGTACCTGCGATTCTCACTAAGTTATGGTATCCTCACCGAAACTCAATTCCTGCATCCACTGTGTTAAAGCCTAAAGTATGATCCATTAGGCTCGTATGGCTATGTGAACCTCCTCCTGTGCAAGAGACAAGTATCACTAAACTGCTTTTTTATTACAATGTAGGAATATTAATAAACCTTTTCCAAACCTTAAGTGTCATCAGTCTGATTTTCCTCTAAAGCGAATAAAAGAATAGAATAAAGCACAACAACTGTTTCATATGCCTAAAGTTTATTTACTTTTTTTGTTTGGCGCCAATTCAAAATGAAAATAATATGAAAATATTCAAATCATATAAGTAAACAGAAGATTGTAATTTTTTTCCCGCCATTAACGTTTTAAATACACCAACACAAATTGTTTCTTTTGATAACCGTAGAGCATTAACAGAAAATACGTCATTCATATATAAAACACTAAGGAAAAAATTTGAATGAGGCATTTAGAAGACAAATTTCGCCAAGTGATATCATCACGTAGTAGTTTCTCTACAATCGCTTTTCAACAAACATGATTCACAATAATAAAATAAAGGTCATGACAATTACTCAGTTAAATAAAAAACAAAAGTACGTACTGATGACCAATCATATTTACATAGGTCATGTAGTCCATGGTAGGCGTAGATTGAAGTCTATTGATTTTTGTACACACAGTTTAGGCTGTATGTGATTAATCCAAAGTACTTTCATCACCTTCAATAACCTTGAATTAGAGTTATGTGATGAAATAATTGTGGAACAGTCATTAATATTGATTGTTTTTGTGACCTGACATTAATAAATGCTTTGCAATGAATAATGATGCTGGATTTCTATTCAGATTAATTGCATTGCGATTTTTTATGTATTTCAAAGACCATTTTTGAACACGTTCTTTTTGACGACCACATTGGGACATTCTACTGTTTCTACCTAAATAGCGTGTGTCACCGCAACTGCAGGTGAAGTAGATACAGTTTGAAGTAGAGTCCACAGAATTTTGTCAATTAATCGTGGGAACAGGGATCGGAAATTTTTGAGGTGTGAAGGAAAGACATACAGCATGCAGTGTGCGCTTGATGGCAGACCGAAGTATTTGAGCTAGCTGTCAACTGCACAATTTGATAATCCTTGAATGATAGGTTAAAGAAGATAGCTTTCTTTGGTACAGAAGTTGTATTTTCAAGATGTCGTCTATCCTTACTGTGATAACTGATGAAGAATTCTGGATAACCATTAGCCTGAATAGCTCAGTGGTAACGTCTCTGACTGCAGCACTGGGTGACGCAGGTTCGAATCTCAGAAGGGACATCAGTTCCTTCAAGGTTGCAGATACGCTTTGCTGACAAGTGCCAACTAGAACGAAACCTAGGTCCAAGGCTTCCTGCCGATTGCCTCTAATCACCTAATATCATCAGATGGTTGAACTCTTTTGTGCGTCGGTGGTACAGCGGCTAGGACGCTAGCCTACAATGCACATGCTCCGGGGTTCGATCCCCAGCCGACACACTTCTTTACCTCGCTCAGCCAGTAATAAAAAGCTGGTAAAGAGGGAAGGTTGGGCATGAAGCTTGCAACCCCATCCTGTAAAAATAAACACTGCTACAGAAACTTCAAGCCTGTAGCTTGGAGCCCTATGTTCCACTGGGAACGTGAAGGAATAAAAAACAAAAAACTTAGCCGTATTGATGTGTCGAAGCTCATCCATCAATTTGTCACTCGTGCACATTTTGCGGGCCCTTGAACACAAGCATTTCACTAGCGAACTTTTATACTGTGTAGGAAAAAAGCTTACAACTGACAGTTTTTCAAATTTATCAATGTCATTTCATCTGTACGATTTGACAGTCCCAGTAACAGTAACTTACTTATCAGAATTATCATCTTAATAAGTATGTTAATGTCACATTTTCTTGAAAATCTTCTTTTGAAGTGTTTGCAAAGTATTTGAGTACTAATCACTTGTTTCACAGTGTATATCACTTCTTTTTCTCCTTTTCTAAACTTTATTTATAGAAGAGAAAAAGATCGATTATGGTCTACCGCTGACATTTTCTGACCTTGTACAAGTTAATAAATTATTGAACGCTTTCATTACACAAAGAATAAACGGTAAGTTGGCTTATTTGCTCACATTGTTTTCTATACGATTTTATGATTAATATACATCGCGAATTGCCAGATTTCGGTGTTTATGGGCCATTGAGTCAGGCCGCAGTGGCTGAATGGTCTATAAGCTCGCCTTGTAACCAGAAGGTTCTGGCCTCCAACCAAGGTGTGTGCGTACTCGTGAAGAATTGCAAACAGGAATGAAAAAACTGTTCAGTACTCTTAGGTTTTCCAATGATTCTAAAACGATGTCAACCTGTCACAAACTTGCTATGCTATGGCCACTAAGAGACGCAGAACACTTTTTAACTAACGACTCGGAAAGACAGATTTAGGTTTCAAATAAAGGTGAAAGACTGACGAAAGTGAAGACTCCAAGAATATTTAAACAGATGAAAATAAAACACAAATTGGATTGTGACCTGCAACAATGAGCATGAGAAGCTGTTGTCTCATAATCTGTACGAGGATTAAGATGTTTCCCAAGTGCCTGGACTGAAGCAAGTGGTTTCCCTAAAGGGCCATCCCCTTCGGCGAGCTTCTCACTTGAAACCTGATTTACAAAGAGAGTAGAGCAGCACCAGAAGCTGAGTTCCGATGGTTGCGGAAACCAAAACAAGTTCATGCTCTATTCGATCATTTTATTTACTGGAACCCTTATACACTATAAGACTGAAGTCAAAATTTCCCAGTTTCCCTGAGTTGGAGTGCACATCTAATAGTCCGGCTGTAGGTGCCAGATGCTCGAAAATGTCTTGTTACTTTTGCGAGGAACATCCCCATTTTACGAAGGCAATGGATAGGACTTACCTGGCAGAGGTTATAAAATCGTGACCATATTAGAGTATTTCGACAGAAATACCAAAGTGTGTCTCCCTGGTCAGTCGAACAGTGTAGTCATTGGTTGCCTTCCACGGTAAGCCTGATAATAATGACAGCAAGTGTAGAGATGTTATGTACACACACTAAATTTCTTATTATTTCAAAGCTCACATATTCATGTTTCATATATTTCACTAGAGAGACAAACAGTTCTTTCAGTTTTAATTATACTTCACGTTTTCCGTTGATTGACTGAACCTCAGTGTCCTGCCTCACTTTACCGGTTGACTCCTAGTAAGGACGCTACGATAATGTACAAGCCTTACCTTGAAATAATTTAGCGGATAGTGACTAGGGATCAAATCCAGGATAGGCATCTCGTCATTTTTCAGTCTGGATATACTGTCACTGGATATAATTGTATTCCCAGTGATGAGAGATACAGTCAGTTGCATCTAGTTGAAGAGTTCAAATAAGGGCGAAGTTCGCATCCTAGATTTCACTGCTATTCATAATCCACCAAATTACTCCAATCCCAGTTTGGGACTCAGCAGTAAAGCGTTCGCACCATTGACCAGTGACCTTCAGGTTACAAGGTGGGTTCCACGTATTTGGATGTGAGGAAAGTACTAGCCAGTGACATTGTCTGGAGTTCACATTATATAATGAGAATTGGAAAAAGTTATAATTAATAGGCCATTTGAGTCCTTCCCAGTAGCTGAATGGTCATTGAGGTCACCTTGTAACTTCGAAGTCCTGCATTCGATTCGTGGATGGCTTATATGTGTGTGTACTGGCGAAGAGTCCCAAACTAGTGCGAAACTGCTTTTCAGTACTTCTTGGTCTTCAGTAGTTTTCTAACTGGTATAAATAATAATAATAATTTGCTTTATTCCAAAAACAGTACTAATGATACAGCAAGGAATTTTCAGCATTCAGTACAATATTGCATCTAATTTACTCAAAAACGACAACAACAGAAAATAAATAAACGAAATAATCATTGCATAATAATGATAACAAACGTTTTTATAGCAGCCATTTAGCAAATTACTGTAAGCAGTACGGAGAAAAATACGCATAAAGTATAAAATTATAGCAATAATAGTAATAACAACTAAAATAAAAATAGCAAAGTTATAATTAAACGATAGAAAGGGTGACACCATAGAATTACAGAAAGATGAACAATGAAAGGGTCGATTCACTATGCTAATTACATAGTAACTTATATGTTTCACGTCTAACAGAGTCTTCATCACATAAAATACGGGCTAAATACGGTATTGTAGAATTTTTGTCCTTAGTGGTACGAGCATATAATTTCTTATATTGACTTCTCGTTCTACCTGATGAGATACAAGGGGATAGTTGTGAATAAAGAGGGTGCAGAGAGTCTGACAGTACGGCCTTTGCCCACTTTGTGCAGGAATTTACGTGTCTCTCGACTATAGTATTGGCGACATGTCTGCAAACTAAAGTCTGTAGACTATCTGTCACGTAATTCACGTTTGTTTTACAAAATTACTAAGGGTGACCTAAGTATTTGAGTAAAAGGTTCGCTAATGAACGTTTGTATGTATGGTTAATATTTATTATTACATTTACCGGATGCATACGAAACATGATCGATAGATAAGGGTTAGCAGTGAATACGCCTTGGTTATAGTCGTGACCAGATGGCGGAGAAATCATAGGCTGACAGTGTGCATTTGCGTTGCTCATTAACACCATGAATTCGCTTCCTACCTCTACCAGCTTGTTAATCACATAGAAATTGTCATCTAACGTCATATTTCTCTCCTTCTTTTCAGACCACCTCATTTATTTAACAGAAAAACATGATTTAATGATACTGGACTCAAACACACTGGAAGAAAGACTGCTGTTATCCCATCTCACTATAATGGAGGTAAGCCAACGTTGATATATATATATATATATGTAGCCTCTATATGCATAATCTCTATGACTATTTATTTAGTTAACTGAATTAAAGAGTGAATATTTTAGTCTTATATCTTGTGGAATTCCACAGTGCGATAGACAAATGTTAAATCGTACAGAATAAACTATGATAGATGGTAAGAATTAACAGATGCATACATAAGCCCCGTCTTAGTTTTATGCGTATTGCAACTCATCAACAAGACGGGGGAGGTTATAGGCTTTGTCTGACTCATTACATTACTCAGATCCGTAGGTCTATCATCATGTGTTGAAGTAATAATATTCCACAGTAGTAGCTATGATACGGCGTGGAGTTCTCAGCATTTGGTACAATATTACATCTAATTTACTCGACGCTTGCTCATCAGTGCATCACTCGTACATATTTCGCGGGATACTGAGTTAAAGTTTAGCTGAAAGCAGCTATCTGAATTCACAACATACCCCTGGCACTATCTGAATTTACCTGGAATATCCCATTCATTGGTGTTTATAACCAAATCAAAATCCACTGACATTCTCTGAGTTGTCACAGCTTCCTTAATCCTGTCAACAGAACAAAATGGGTGATCAACCTCTCATCAATGGAAATTAGCTCTAGTGAGATAAAAGTACTTGAGAAAGGACTAAATTTCAATGTAAGAGTTAGTAAATTAAAACTAGAGGATATCATTCCTAACATAGAAGTAGCACTAGGTTCAATAGATAAGACGACAGCAGAAGAGGTCCGAGCACAATGTGCATTAATCCTGAAAAATCAAAAAGAAGGCAAAATCAAACTTGACAAAATCGGAAAGAGAAGCTCTAATTAGTCTAAAACAGGATAAAAACATTGTCATCGCTAAAGCTGAAAAAGGAAACTCTACCGTAGTTTTGGATAAATCTGACTATATCAAGAAAGTCGCTGAACATATTGGGACCGGCCCATATGAGGAAATTAAGAAGCCTGTAGATACAATAATCAATAAGGCTAAGAAATCTACAGCGAAATTAATACGCAGAATGAAATCGTCACTGGGTGAGTCTAAATGGTTTAATTTAATGCCTAAAACTAATAATGCTAGTAGAATGTATGGTACCATTAAAATACATAAGCTAGGTTACCCCATAAGACCAATAGCAGATTTTGGAAATACGCCGATGTATGAATTATCAAAACACTTAGCTCTAATACTAAGTCTTTCTAGAAATCATCTAAACTCTAGGTTAACTAATTCATATGAAATGAAAAGGAAACTAAATAACATTCAATTAGAGAATAATGAAAAAATGGTTAGTTTTGATAGAACTAGTCTGTACACTAATATACCAATCAGTATGGCCTTGGAAGCAGTTAAAAAAGAACTAACTGCAGATCCTGAATTCACTCACAGGACGAAGTTGCCCACTGAGGAAGTTATTGTAAGAATTCAGTTATGCCTCATATCTACTGTCTTTAAATTCCAAGGCAAAATATATAGACAAACTGAAGGTGTAGCAATGGGATCACCAATATCCCCTATCGTAGCAGATATCTTTATGGCCAGCTGGGGGAATATTGCTCTTAATACATTTAATCCTACTCCATAAATATGGTGGGGATATGTGGATGACATTTTCACAGTGTTAGAATATATCTCCAGCTTCTTGACACACATAAACTCACTAGTGGAGGGAATAAAATTCACATTTGAAGCCGAAAATGAGCAAGGAGAATTAGCTATGGTGTTAGATTGTAAAATAAAACGAATAGAAGAAGGCAAACTACGCACTAGTGTTTATAGAAAACTAACGCATTCTAATAGATATTTAAACTTTAATTCGTCTCATCCATTAACTGTTATGGTCTAAATGCCACCGTAATTCAAGCATCATTGAGAATCCTACTTAAATCCTCTGACATTCCTTCTTTAAGCAGCCCTGATGAGTTAAACAAACTAGAAGAAACAGAGCTCAGCCCTTGCACTGCATTTATTTGCATGTAATCGCAAAATACAGTGGGTGGGACAGGGTGAGAGTATTAAAAAGTGATATAGTTAGGCGGAGAGATGGTGAGGTTAATAATTGAAGCTTTGTTTATCAATTCAACACTGCACACATGCAATCGGAATGACGCAACGCTTATACGGGAGACATGGAAAGTGGTAACAAACAACAAAGGGAAGCCGGAGAGACAGAATAGAGAGAAAATACTTATAAGACAAATTGTGAACCCATGTGACTAAACTAATATGATTATGAGTAGCAATAATTTCTGCTTGGAACGTCATCCACTTGTTATTACTGCAACACTGTGTGATAATGAAAATAAACTTATCCAATATGGAATTACATTCTACTGTAACAACAGAAGACAAGGCTGGCAACAGATCAGTTTTATTACGAAAACCAACAGGTATTTATATGTATTTTACGTACATAATAAGGCTTCTGCCCGCAGAAAGAAGGCGGTCTTCTGATTGGTTGTTCGCAGTCTTCTGCTTTCTCGTTTTCGATATTTTTCGGAAATGCGAGCCACTTGTCTGCGAATCATATTTGTCCACGTTTAGGTCAGCTGTGATTGGTTGTTTAATCAGCCTAGATTAATTTCTACCAATCAGCGTAGATCAATGTCTATCAATTGGCTAGCAGCTTGCTCTCACCACACTACCACACTGCTCAAGTTCTACACTTACGTTATGTGGGTTAGTAACAAAATATGTCAAAGTGTATGAGTAGTGATAATGCTTGGAAAATAGTGAACAATATTACTTAATCGAGAAAGTTGAATACTACATAGTTAATTGATGTATAATCAACTGAATATAACTAATAGAAAACAAGACATCAGAAAACTTAAAATAGTTAGTGGAAAGTAAAATAGAAGAGCAGCACTCCCACTTTTTTATGCAAGAAGTCATGGAAACAACATTGACTCATAGGTAATGAAAGAGGCGGGATAAAACGTTTCTAAACACAATATTCAGGTTTATCGTTGTGTACTACTACAGCTTCAACCGCATGAATAAGACATGAGCTTGGTCATACTTAGCAAGCGACTGTGAGCACAGTCTCTGTTGATATTGCGTGATTAGATGTAATAATGTACTTAAGAACTGAGGTATCAGCTGTTCCGAGTTCTCTTTTCAACAAACAGGCTGCAAGGTATTCGTGAGCGGATCTAGATAATGCTTTGCTGTTACACCTTATACACTTAACTTCACAGGAGCAAAGGATTGGTAGATGTATAGTGAAGTTGTCATTACTGGGACCTTGTCTTTGGTCTATTGGTGAACAGGAGTATATATGGAGAAGATGAGACACGGAGACGCTCCAAAAAATATTGTTTTCAGCGTTCTTTTGACAGCCGGCTTCGTGCAACTTCACTAATGGTATCTTCCTTGAATTTTAAACTTGCAATTAGTGTGTTCTCGGAAATATTCAGGCATGTAATTGTAAATTTTATCTTGTATCTTTTTAAGAAGAATATTTGTATCATTATTTAATTTCAGAAAAGTGCGTTTTCGGGAATATTTTCAATAGCTCCGGATTTCTCAGCTATTGCTATAGCATATGAATTAAAAGATGTAAGTCAGATACCATTTTTGTCGTCTACACTTTTTGGTTGCCTATGACTTTTATTTTGCATTGTAGTACTTTACATGCTCAGGTGGTACACAAAACTTGACTAGCCTCTTAGGGAAGATTCTCTAGGAACTATAGTCCTGAAAAGATTCAGTAGAATAAGAAAAAAGGACAGGCACGTCCCTATCCTAGATGAAGGTACGCGTTGGTAAAATATTCACCACTCGAAAGGAAAATAGGCCCACTTACTTTAGCCCAACACTTAGCCTATTTTTCGACTTGAAAGCCACACTTCAAGCAGTTGGTTCGGAGTTGATTAGGCAATATCTGCCTATGGAGGGAGCAGTCGAAAGACATGTGATAGCGCTGCCTATAAACTCATGTGGCTTATGGGAGGTTGTCACTTACGGTAATGGAAGCTTGGGGTGTATAGAAAGAAAGATGAGTCACTATCAAAAAGTCGACAACTAAGGAAATTAGGGTTCATGACTGTTATTTCCTCGGATTCCAAGTGTACCATGGAGCTTCAATGGAACATGCCCAATTCATTCCTTTCCCTGAAGTCTCTTCTACTTGACTTCACTATTGCACATAAGATTTATTTCCCTCCTCAGTTTATTTTCTTTGACTCACACCAGAGTACTCAACTCATCTTCCATCTTTTGAGATCCACTTGAGCGTATCTTCAACCCACCTCGATTTCCTTTGGCATATTTGTTGGACGACAGTTTCTAGGTTGGTTGGTTGTATAAATTATCTCATGTGACAATGTCTGCTTGAACTGAAACACCGGTGTTGGGAACGCCTTCAGTTATTCAACTGTTTATCAAACCTGTTCACTTTCTATTTTGCAAACACGCGAGTTAATGTTCTTTAACCGCCTTCCCCAAACAATTCGCATCTACATAGAGATATAAGCAAAAAACAATGATATTAATATTCCCTTAGGTTCCAAGTGGAACATAGGGTTTCAGCATTTCAGCAACACATCTCCACTTTGTTCTGCCTTATGTTGTCCTCTTCAGCTGGGTCCACGATCGCCCAAACTCTGTCATCTCCTCCTCACACGATCTCCTCTATGTCGACCTCTCATTAACGACCCACATGTGGCTTCCCATTTGGATTCCACATGATCACTGGCCTGCGTTGCGCGCGACGTCATTCGACGGCATCCTCAATGCATGCCTGATCCGTTGGTCTCCATTTTCTCCCACATATTTCTTGAGCAATTGGCTCTTGGTTGGTTTGTTTCCAGACAGAGTTTCTTGTTTCTAATCTTTCTGGCTGGCTGGTTATTCGATCGCCAGTATAAGGCAACGAATGAGGACTGCTGTTGGTGAAAGTCCGCAACCTGTTGGAATTCCTTTTCGTGACACGCTAACCAAGTTTCTGACCCGTATAGAAGGACCGACTTCACATTGGCGTTGAAAATCCGAATCTTATTCTTAATGACACGGAGCGCAGAAGATTTCCAAACTGGTTTCAATTTGATGAAGGCGTATCTTACCTTTCCGATTCTGTCTTTGACATCTTCATCCGTTCCACTGGTTTATGGTCGAAACGATGCCTCCTGGATGAATAAACAAAGGAGGTAACCTCTGTCAAATCCATCCCGTTGATAGTAACTGGTGGTGGTTATTGTTGTGGTTGCTGTAGGCTGGCTGGTTTTCTTCATCACTTCCATCTTCTCTGTGTTCACCAAGAGTCCTGCCTTCGCTGCCTGCCTATTCAGCCAGTTTGTTGATTTTCGCCTGCAAGTGTTCGAGTTCGTGTGACACTAGACAAAAATCATCTGCGAAATCCAGACCTTCTTGAGTCTTCTTGTCGGTGGTCCAGTGTATTCCTGTCCGTATTCCTCGATCCTCACAGTCTGGCGCATAATCCAGTCCACCACAATTAAGAATATCATCGGTGATAATAGGCAGGCAGCCCTGTCTTACTCCTGTAACAATAATACACATGTCACAAGTATCGAAGTGTAGTAGTGCGGCTCAGTATCACAGGAAGCATCATGCGTTAAAAAGTGCTAAAAGAGGGGACATAAAAGTGTAATTTTAGTTCAACCAACTATCTGTACAGCTAGTTAAAAAATAAAGTCTTCCCTAGGACACATCCTTCCTTACTTTCCTACTTTATATCTGTAAAAACGTGATTTCCATCGTTTAAGTAGTTTTAAACATCAAATAATTTTCTATTGGCTTTTTTTCTCTAAAGTTCTACACAGCGTAAATTCAAAGTGCTTGTAAAGTTGAAAAAGACTAAGCAAAAAAATTACAGATTTTATGGCCTTGCTTTTCAAAGCATAAAAGTTAGGCAAGTTAAACTGCAAAACACTTTTACTGCTTTAAAAGTTTCTTTCGATGAATATAAATAGAATCGTGGGAAGACAGGATTTTTACAGAGATAAACATTTTAGTTTCATTGTGCATAAAATTTTTATTTTGATAAAATCACACACAGTGTTATACAATGATATTTACTGATGACCACATTTTGAGCACAAGTTATTATTGCTCATAATCATGTCAAGTCACTCAAACTCAACCTTCCTGCTTCATTTACATACATGAGTAAAAACTGATGATTAGACATTTTAAAACAAATCAATATAAGATAAAGTACTTTCAGAAATAATAATATGAGTGTTATTGATCAAATACAATCAGATGGGAAGTAAGGTGTTTTTTACAGTAAAAATAGGTAAAGCGGTAGAATTTAATTGGATTTTAGATTTTCCCGTCGATTGATTGGACCGAAGTGCTCGGTCTCAGGTTGACATGTCGGCTTCTTGAGCAGATGCTTCGACGATGTCTGGACATTTAGTTAGTATTTAATTGGTGGATGGTAACTAGCAGTGGAATCCAGGATGCACATTTCGTCCTTTTTGGGACTCGTCACTGGATGTACCTAAAGTCCCCTGTGAGTGCCTTATCAACCTGAGACCGAGCACTTCAGTCCAATCAATCGACAGGAAAATCTAAAATCAATTAAATCAATATGATCCGTTGCACAAGAAGTGGTTCTCATGGCTCAAGTGGTCTAGTGGATAACGCTTTGCCATTTGAAACTATGGGCACTGGGTTTGAGCCTCGGTGGGAACATCATCACTCACTGCGAAATGCGGGTACATCCAGCTAGCTGAAGAGTCCCAGATAGGACAGTTGAAATGAGTATTTTCGATTCCACTGCTAGTCACCATCCACCAATTAAAGTGGTAGAATGTTATAATGTGAATTGAAACAGATTTTAACATTATTTATATACCCTCTGATTTGACTGGTAATAATATCTTTCACTGCATTGAGTCATTTCTGTTGCATGTGTTGGGTGTAGACTCAATGAACCAGTTTTCACGAATCAACCACCTCTCCACCTACCTATATTACATTTTAGAATTTTCACTCTGTCCCACACACCCTGATGTGTGGTTGTGTGTGTTAATGTATGCATTACTTAATTACTAATCTTTGTGGGATCAATCACCCTAAATTCTTATGTTCTAACAATCTGACTACCTCCACCCGATCTACTAGTTTGAACCATTTAGTTCACCATTCGGTCAATGCAAGATATTTGGCGGGCTGTTTTATTTTGTTTAACCGGGTGAATCCAGTCCTTTAGCCTACAGAGCTTGTCCTACCCGAATGAGTTGGAATGTTTGAATGCCACCCTAATTTCTGCTTTATTGAGAATCCTGCGAACTTTCTCAGATGTCCACAGATGTGATCGAAGTATCATCAGTTAACATTACCGTATAACGCTGGGTGATTTTATCAAAATAAAATCTTATCCATAATGGAGTTATTCTCTACCGCAGTTGTCAAGTTTTATCCTAATATCAATAAACATTTTAGTCCCTTATACTATAACATGGTTTAAACTGACCAAATCTGTCTTTTTATACTTGAGAAGTGCTTACTTGAAGTTTATGAAATGTATACTGTTCGCCGTTTTCACTCGTGTATTTTATTAATATCATCGCTATTTCTTTGCGTTTTGATCGGTACGTATGACTTCAACAGCATATCACTGATTCAGTCAGTTCCCCTGAGGTTCTTTTCAGCTAGCCTCACGATTTACTTCATTTTCTCCCCGATTGATCTGGAATAAACGCCAAGCTGATTGCTCCGCATTCGAGTTTTACTACGTAGCCTACCTTGGGGCATAATGTTACTCAGCAGTCTAAATTTCTTCCTGTGTATTTGTAGAGCGATTGAATCTTGGTTGGATCGCCACCAGAATCCCTTACAGGACATAATGTCATTAGTATGGAGCGAAGTGGACAGCTGTTGATGGTTTCCGCGCCAAGTCTCTGAATCATATAGAGCCAGAGAATGACTTAGCATTAGCATTCTTAATTTAGATCGTGCTCCTTACGCCCAATGCGGTAGAATTCCGCTCTGATTTCAGAATAATAATGATGAAGGCTTGTGGTTTGCTTTGCTGATTGTGTATTTGACATCCACATCTGTGCCACCTGCATTTAAAACTTGATAGTGTTTGCTCATGCAATTTAATGAGGTAACCTCTTTTAGATTTCTCCTGTCGATGGTGAATAGTTGGTTGTTTCGCTAGAAATTTGATGTGAACTGGCTCAGTCACTTCGATGGATGTCATAACTCTGATCTTCTAAAGATTTTCTCTTTTCAGGAAATAGGGGCCAAGTACCTCTTTGAGGTTTTCATTTGCATTATTACTAAGTACTTTTCTGAAAGACAGGAGTGTTATATCATCGAAGGGAACAAACATATAATACAGCAGTATGTTGATGATCTTCTTAATTCTTGTGTTGTTGTATAAAATTAAAAATATAAGAGTTTAGATAGTTACAGGCAGTTGGCAGGTGTGCTAACATGCGCAAGATCTACGTTGAGGATTCCCTGTAGACTACATCCGACCGCCTAATACCAATTCAGAGTGCAGCGTAATATCTAGCTTGGTGATCTTAATGAAAACCTGACTGACAGGATTCAATCTTTTATTGGACGCTAGTCACTGACAC